GGGGGGGGGCTGAGCACAGGGCCAGGGCGCATGCTGCGCCCACGCGGGGGATCGTGATCCCCGCTGACGCTGAGCGGGGCCTGCTGGGCCGCGTGTGCGCGGTTGGGGCCGGAGGCGCGACACGACCAGGCCCCCAAACACTCGGAGCAGGGATGGCTGGCCGCTCCTTGGTGGCCGCGCAGCGGTGAATTTGGGAGCTGCCGGGACACCCTGCGACCGGGTCGGGTAGATTCCAGGGGCCCTCCATGGGCTGTGTCCTCTGGGCCGCCCGTCCCCGCTCGGCGCGCGCGGGCAGAGGCGGTGGTGGCTCAGTCTGGGAAGGCGACTGCGTTGAATTTGACTTTTCGAGGCCGGCCGGGGTAAACTCGCATCTCCCGGGACTTCGGGGATTATTTACAGGGAGCCCGCCAACCAAACACAACAGTCTAATTTAACCTTTCCAAGTCCTCGTAAATTTTTACAACTGGGAGCCACGGCGAGGTAAACGAATCTGTGGGTCGTTCCCAACTTCCCACCAGCCTGTGTGGCTTCTGAAACAATAACTCCTTATGAAATATAAATATAGATTTAAATACAGTAGAGCGAGAATGCGATTTGGCTGCTTTTTTATGGCTTCAATTATTGTCTAATTTTATGTGAGGGGCTCTGCTGGCCGCGCTCGCGCGCGGGACCCGCGCCTCGCCGATGGCGTGATTAATTGTGGTATAAAATAGTCCGCTTAAGAAGTGCGTGCGTCTGGTGGCGGCGGCGGGAAGGGGCGGGAGTCCAGAGGCAAGGCCAGATTTGATCTTTTAATCGTCGTTGGCCACAATTAAAACAAACCCGATCGTTGAGCGCCGCGATCTCTTTGCATAAAAACATATGGCTTTTGCTATAAAAATTATGACTGCAAAACACCGGGCCATTAATAGCGTGCGGAGTGATTTATGCGTTATTGTTCTGCCGGGCGGCCACGTGACGCGCGTGGCCAATCGGGGCGCGGGCGCCGGCAACTTATTAGGTGACTGTACTTCCCCCCCTGGTGCCACCAAGTTGTTACATGAAATCTGCAGTTTCATAATTTCCGCGGGTCAGGCCAGCCGGCAGGGCGCGGGGTACGGCGATGGCCACCACCGGGGCCCTGGGCAACTACTATGTGGACTCGTTCCTGCTGGGCGCCGACGCCGCGGAGGAGCTGGGCGCGGGACGCTACGCCGCGGGGGCCCTGGGTCAGCCCCCCCG